AGACTCGGCCCGCTCATGGCTGGATTGCACTTGTTCGAGAGTCAACCACTCATTCCCTACTTCTTCTGCACTTAATTAAATTATTCATAACATTCTGCCCTTCCACGTTTTATCTACTGGTTCATAACCGTTGGGATAAGTTCATCTTCTGTTACCCAGCTGGACTACTTCGTATCTTACAAATGCAAGACGCCAGGTGAATAAAGTGCTTGTCCCAACGATCGAATCTGCTCCTTCACCCAAATTTTCGTCCCTTAATAAAACGTTCGAAACGCTCCTGTAGATTTGACTGAGCGGCGCAGTAAGACTGAGCACGCATGCATCCAACACCACATAGGACTGTGAGAGCTGTCTTTGCAGGTGATGATTGCAGAAAAATTTAATGCCTCAGAAGGGAGGGGATGGGGAGAGGGGGCACTTTTAGGATGACACCAGGAGTGGTGTGATTAACACTAGGTCAGGTGTGCGTACACGTGCGACAAACACACACAGCGGGAATTACCCTCGAAGTTGTGGAGAAGGTCACCTGTGTGTAGTTTAGACGTTTCGGCTGACAACGCAGTCCATGTCACGTTGGAGAATGCGCTGATGATTCCAGAGACTGATGCAGTCTCCCGTTTGTAGTACAGGTTTGTCTAGCCCTGGGGTTCATTCGGTAAGCGGTGCCACCTTTGTTGACTAGACTGCGATTGTAGACAAGCGAATTAGAAACCCAGACGCCCCTCAACCCGCGTAATACACATTTCTTTTTATTTTACTTAAACGTATTTGATCCCAGCAAAGACTAATTGGATTTGAATTTCTCTTCGTTCGTATGCCTGAGAGCCCTTAAGAGAAGACTAGCTGTGGTTCTATTCCATGAGATCTTAGACGCTGATGGGTTATAATTGTATAATGTGACGAATCATTGACGAAGGTTAACGAACGCACCTCATTTCAGCAGAAGCAGCATCACTATCGGATAAAAGTTATTAAAAGGGAGTAGAAAACAGGGAACTTCCTGCCACTAATTAGACTAAAGCAATCACTCGTTGGTAAACCTTCACCCGACCGCAAACGGATCTCGTCTGTCCCGCTCTGCCTTAGGACTCAACAGAGGCCCTGACAGCTGTAGCAGCTGGTATTATGGGCAAATAAAAGGGTGACTGGAATGGTAGTTTCTGACTTATTAGTCGTCGTCAGCTAGTCGTACCTAGACCCAAGTGGCGTTTGCCTATACTACCAGCTGCCAGGGCCTCTGTCGAGTCTCAAGGCAGAGCGGGACAGATGAGTTCCGTTTGTGGTCGGGTAAGCGTTCATCAACGAGTGTCAATATCCCTCGACCTAAACTGGCAAGACAACGAACTCGTGGCTCAATGGTTGGGGCGCGTCTGACTCTGATCGAAGAGGTCGCGAGTTCGAGGCTCGAGGCTCCAGTGGAGCACCAAATGGGTCTGGGTATGACTGGCTGACGACGGCTAATAAGCCAGAAATGACCATTCCAGTCTCCCTCGTCTTTGCTGGCAATACTAGCTGGAGTAGTTACTCGTATGAAGCAGCTGACAAACAGAAAGGGCACTGGGTTGACCACTTGGAGCCTGCTGTCGACCGTCGTTTTATTGAAACCCCAGGCCGAATGAACGACTGAATCCGCAGCTAAGCTCTCGTTTACAGATCGGTGACGTAAAAGGATGACAGGACACGGTATGTGGAACTGGCGTGAACCACTGGGTTAAATTGTTGATGCACGCGTTAGGGAGACAATTAGGACATTCACATACGTTGAAACATTGCGGTCGTAATCTGTTCATGAATGTCAACGAAATCCTTTCACTTCAGCAGGAGTGACACCACTATCGGCTAAATGGTATTACAGGTCAGTAGAATAAGCCCGCTCGTTCATCCTCCACCTCTATACTTAAAACCGTCCTCGGCTGTTGGTAACGCAAAAGTTATGTAGTAATCGCCACGAAATAATCTTCCTCAAACCACATGCAGCAAGCATACTTTTCATTGGACATCTCACATTTTATTCACGCACTAATCAGTGCTCTTCTACTAGTGTTTGATGAGGCTTTCCAACTTTCAGTGTAGCCTATCGTCAGCGATAAGGCTGATAAGGGTAATATTGAGTAAAACATGCCGGGTCAATTTGGCAGAGGGACAATACGGAAGGTAGAAACAACATCGTTATAGTTCCGATTACATGGTAGGTAAGGCTAAATGTTTGGCAAACGACGGATGGAGCCGTAGTGACCTGGGGTGGGTGGTTAAAGTGGTAAATTTTGATGCATGCATTTAACTGAATAGCCGAACTTCACGCCTGTCAGTTTGTACTAACTGAGAGTACGAAGCGTATGCGTGCTGCGTGCCGTCTCAAAAACCAATACTGCAGAGGAATATAGCACGATGGGCCACGAGAAAATATAATAATAATAAT